TGTGTGTGTGTGTGTGTGTGTGAGAGAGAGTGTGTGTGTGTGTGTGTCTGTGTGTGTGTGTGTCTGTGTGTGTGTGTGTGTGTGTGTGTGTCTGTGTGTGAGTGTGTGTGTGTCTGTGTGTGTTGTGTGTGTGTGTCTGTGTGTGTGTGTGTGTGTCTGTGTGTGAGTGTGTGTGTGTGTGTCTGTGTGTGAGTGTGTGTGTGTGTGTGTCTGTGTGTGTGTGTGTGAGTGTGTGTGTGTGTGTGTGTGTGTCTGTGTGTGAGTGTGTGTGTGTGTGTGTGTCTGTGTGTGAGTGTGTGTGTGTGTGTGTGTGTGTCTGTGTGTGAGTGTGTCTCTGTGTGTGTGAGTGTGTGTGTGTCTGTGTGTGTGTGTGTTGGTTGGGTTCAGTTTTAAAAGCTGATGTAACAGCAGCTCATTAAAGTCGACAGAGTGTCAGTTTTTACTGAATTTGCATATTCAAATCACTTGTTTGATTGGAGGAATGAAAATGAGTCTAGAACATTCAGAACAACCAGCACCACGAGACTCAGACCCTCAGAGCTCCTCCTGACAGACGTTTCATACTTCATGTCCCAAATATAACAGTTCAGTAGAACCGATTAGGAAGTTTAACGATGCTGTTAGACACTCGTTCTAGACATCAGTACAAAACCATCAGCACTTTAGAGCAGTTAGAACACGTTCTGCAGTTCCTCTTCACAGCATTGCATTCTGCCTCTGGACACACAATTGCCGAAGAATAATAACTTCTTACAGTTTGTATTACTACAGTTACTGAATAATAAGTCATATGGTAGTTTATTAATAATAATACGTCTTATCGTAGTTCATGATATGTAAATGAAGTTAGTGAACAGCGTCAGCAGTTTAAAGGGTTAATCCTTAGAAGTAAAGTCTGATTACTGTTGCTTTATAATATTTAAATTACATAATTATGTAATTAATATCACTCACTCTTGTTTTTTTATGCTTGAACAGGTTGGAGTTTTGACTTTTATCATCAGAAAATGACAAAAACAGCAAAAACAACTTTTCATCAAATGTAAATCACAATGAAGCGTCTCTGTGACAGGTTCTCCTCTCAGCTTAGTCAGAACTCTGATGGGTTCTCACGGAGCCGAGAGCTTGACACACTCACACACACACACTCACACACACACACACACACACACTCACACACACTCACACACACACACAGACACTCAGTGTCAGTAAGTAAACGGGGCGTCTCTGACTGAGCTCTCCTTTCAGCTCTAATCTCACTGTCTGACCCTCCAATCCCCCTTCAGCTCTCATCACACAGCACTGCTGGACACTCAGTCTGCTGGACACTTAGGCTGCTGGACACACAGCGCTGCTGGACTGCCTGAACATAACGAGCGCAGGTGAACTGCACCATGCAATCAACCAATTAACATCCACCTGACCTTGACTCTGATCAACAGGAACTACACTCTCAAAAAAAGATGGTTCCTAAAGGGTTCTTTATTAAAAACATTGGTTCTATATAGAACTACAAACACTCAAAGAACCCTTGGCATACTTAAATGGTTCTCTGCTCTTAAAATGTCAAGCTTGTAACAGTAGAACTCTTTTTAGTGCTAAAAAAGAGCCCTTTTCAAAAAGGTTCTATAATCCAACCATATCTAGACATGTCCTTTGCATGCTTATAGGGTTCTCTGCATGGTAAAATGGTTCTTTAGAGTGATGGAGAACGTTTTGTATATAGCTATATAGCCAAGAACCATTTCACCATGCGGAGAACCATTTAATCATGAAAAAGGTTCTCTGGGTGTTCATGGTTCTATTTAGAACTTTTATTTTACGAAAGAACTGTTGTAGAACCATCTTTTTGTCAGAGTGCAGAGCTGCAGTGCAGAAACCCGTCATTACAAAGACCAGTGACCATCTGAGAGTGACCACTCCATCAGTGGAGTAAAAACATCAGCGCTGGTCTACAGAGATGTGGAGAACATTCAGATCCCTCCCCACATTCTCCACAAGTGTGTAAGTGCATGTGCAGCGTTCGCCAAGAGAACGATACGATATTCTCTCTGATCTGATCATCTCTTCTTAAACTCTCCTCTAAAGGCTCTTCATATATCATGATCCTCATATGTTTCATATCTAAATGCTCCGTTATCTTCATCACTACTTTCCAAAACCGCTGCAGCAGCTTCAGCAGCTGTAAACTCTCTGCACGCCGTTTCACATGAGTCTCCGATGTGGACTGAATGAAGAATGAAGGGATTCCGGCGTGATGGTCAGTCCTTAGTGATTTCCTGAGTGTCCATCGGTCAGTTTCACACAGAATGTAGACGGACACACCAATCCACCAGTTCCACACGGTGAGAGGCAGATGGCGTGTATCTCAGCCCCTCTTCATAGGCTCATAACTCCGGATGTGAGTCTCGTATGATCTCGAGATAAGATGGAATGGAAAGGGCGACTCTACAGATTCAGGAAGTGTTTGAACTGGATTTCTGAGCTGGATCATCACAAAGATACAGACGCAGATATAGAGACAGAGAATTTGGCCTGTGGTTGAGTTTGTGGACCCCAGAGGATGAAAGAATATTTATTTAATTATTTATTTAACACAACATTTGACCTTATAACCCATTAAACCTCAGGATTATTATTGATGTATTTATTTTCAGGAGATCTTTCAGATTCCACTGTGAAACAGAGCCCTGCAGTCGTGAGAACGAGGAGCTGAAGTGTGGATCCAGAGGCTCAGAGGTTCAGATGTTTGGGGCGGTGAGTGTGTGGTGCTGGATATGGGGAGGAGCTCTGGGGCTCTGAGGGGACTTTGCTTGTGTAAACTCTTCAAAGCTCTGCTGAATTCACATGATGACAGGAGGCCTGCGATCGGGACGGCCGTCAAACAAGGTTTCCCACAAACACTTCACCAACTCCACAACCCCCTATACTCCCCCACCACAGCCCCCCAGCTCTGACCGGCCCGAATAAACACTCTCTCAGAAAGCCTGCTGCAGTATTTATCTTGTGGAACAATTCAAGGCCAAATCTTCGCCTAAAAAAAAAAAAACTCCAAAAATGTGGAAGCTCAGTGTTCCGTTCTTCCCGTCTGTAAATAACTCCTCCGGTTACACTCGCGTATTCAGTCCAACCTGATGGCCATCATGACAGATACGATCATTTGGCAACTCATGAAGCTCCCATCAATCAGCTCCATCTATCCCTACTGACCTACAGCTGCTGGAAGTACCACATTCTGGGCTTCCAAAAGAGAATTCTGGAATCTCCCATTATTACCAGTTTCTTTCTCTTTAATATGTAGACATTTTAATAATCACCCAATAAAATAGGCTGAAATGTGAGTCATTGTGATGCACTGAAGAACAGTAATACAACCCTGATTCTAAAAAAGTTGGGACGCTGTGCAAAATGTAAATAAAAACAAAATGCAATGATGTGCAAATCATTTAAACCCTATTGTTCATTGAAAATAGTGCAAAGACAACAAATCAAATGTTAAAACTGAGAATTTTTATATTTTTTGAAAAATATATGCCTATTTTGGATTTGTTGCCAGCAACACATTCAAAAAAGTTGGGACAGGGACAACAAAAGACTGGTAAAGTTATGTAATTCTAAAAAAACACCTGGTGGAACATCTCACAACTAATTAGGCTAACAGGCAAAAGGTCAGTAACATGATTGGGTATAAAGAGCATCTCAGAGAGGCGGAGTCTTTCAGAAGTAAAGATGAGGAGGGGTTCACCACTCTGTGAAAGACTGCACCATCAAATAGAGCAACAATTCAAGAATAACGTTTCTCAACATAAAATAACAAATAACTTTTGCTTTTCATCATCTACAGTACATAATATCATTAAAAGACTCAGGAATCTGGAGAAATCTCTGTATGTAAGGGACGAGGCCATAAACCAGTATTAGCTGGCTGTGATCTTTGGGTCCTCAGGCAGCACTGCATTAAAAACAGACCCAATTCTGTAGTGGAAATCACTGCATGGGCTCAGAAACACTTCTGAAAAACACTGTCTGTGAACACAGTTCATCACTGCATCCACAAATGACAGTTAAAACTCTAAAACTCAAAGAAGAAACCAAATATAAACAGGATCCAGAAATGCTGCCACCTTCTCTGGGCCTGAGTTCATTTAAAATGGACTGAGGGGAAGTTGAAAAGTGTCCTGTGGTCCAACGAATCAACATTTAAAATTCTTTTTGGAAATCATGGACACTGTGTCCTCCGGGCTAAAGACCACTCAGCTTGTTATCAGTGCACAGTTCTAAAGCCAGTATTCATGATGGTGTAGGGGGGCATTAGTGCACATGGCATGGGTGACGTGCTCATCTGTGAAGGCACCATTAATGCTGAACGATATATACATGTTTTAGCAACATATGCTGCCATCCAGACGACGTCTTTTTCAGAGAAGGCCTTGATTATTTCAGTAAGACGATGTAAAACCACATTCTGCATGTATTACAGCAGCATTGCTCCATATTAAGAGTCCGGGTGCTAATCTGACCTGTCTGCAGTCCAGATCTGTCACCACTGAAAACATTTGGTACATTATGAAACGAAAAATATGACAAATGAGACCCTGAACTGATGAGCAGCTGAAATCCTGTATCAAACAAGAACAGAAAACATTTCACTTTCTAAACTACAGCAGCGTCTCCTCAGTTCACAAACGCTTACAGAGTGGTACACAGTGGTAAATATGCCCCTGTTATTTTTGGAACGTGTTGTTGGCATCAAAATGTGCATATATTTTTCAAAAACAAATGAAACTTCTCAGTTTCAACATTTGATATGTTGTCTTTGTACTGTTTTAATTAAATATACGGTTTAAATGTTTTGCATATCACTGCATTCTGCTTTTGTTTACATTTTGCACGTCGTCCCAACTTTTTTGGAACCAGGGCTGTAGTTCTGATTTATGAATAAAAGGAGAACATGCAGGACAGAGTTCCACCGTTAGAGTTCTAGGCATCAGACTGACCTGCAGAAGTTGTGAGCGCCCAGTCCTCCCTCTCCGTTCGGGTATTTGACGGTGTTGTATGGATGCTCAAAGGTCTCGTTCCAGAACAGACACGGTTTTCCTCCCTGCAGACTCGTCAGGTTCTGGCGCCCCCTGTAGTCCTCTCCGTTCACCGTGTAGCATTCTGAAAAAACAACACGCCTCACATCAGCGAGCGGCTCACAGATCTCTAAACCACACACTGTTTACACTGTTTACACTGTTTACTTCACACAGCCCAGTTAAACACTCACACTGAAGCTCTTTCAGCCCAAAGTGCTTTAAACACCTGAAAGGTTTGAGTGCTGACATCACAACAGGGGTAAAGTGGGCGTGGCCTCTGGCTTCACTCCCACTAACATTACTAACATTTACATTGTGGGATAAAAGAAACTTTATTTTCATATTTAATGTTACATATCATTCAATTTATGATGCAAATACTTTATAATTTCTAACATCTGTAAGAAGCTGTGAACATTGAGATGTTTGATGATGAATGAAGCTGTCAATAAAATAATAAGCCTCATATTCAAAAAGCACTGATCAAATATTGAGCTACTTTGAAACAAGAAGTCACTATAAATAATTACAGCTCATCGTTTAATAATATTCATCACGTTTTTGCTGTGACTTTTATAACTTGTTCTCAAAACACTTTAAACTCTTAATAAGCTTACATTTCTTAATAATAACTGTTACTGTTAATTAGAATACTGTATTCACTCTCATGTACTTTTACTGTACTTTTACTGTAAAATTGTGCATTTTTAAGCATTATTGCTGATAAAATGACAATTACAGTAGAAGAAATGATTAAAAACGTAAAACTGTCTAGAAATAAGTTCATAATATATATAGAATTATAATAGCAACAAATGTCGACTATATTTAAGATGATTTCACTTGCCAATATAATTTTTTGTGATCTTGTCTAAAACATTTCCATCTCCACTGTGTTGATCATATCATCATATTAATTTTCATCTTAATTTTCAATATTAAATAGAAGAATGATGAATGCAGTGACATGATGAATGCAATATTGTAATTAACAGTTAAAAGTTAATATTAACAAATTTAAGGTTTATTAACAATTTGAAGTGTTCTAAGAACAAGTTATGAAAGTTATGTCAAAAAAGAACTGAATATTAATAAATGATAAATAAATAAATTAGCTGTAATTATTTATTCATAGTGACGTCTCACAATGTAACTCAATATTCGATGTGTTGCTACTTTTCAAATATGAGGCTTATTAATGTATCTTCATTTAACTTCATTCACCATCAAAAACACCTCAATGTTTACAACTTCTTATGAATTCTTTATGAGCTCTAAATGCAGAAATATTCTAATATGTTAATATTCTAGAGGTTCAATCTGTAAGAAGCTGCAAACATTAAGAGCACTGAAAAAAAAACAAGAACATGTTTAAAATCGAGCGTCTTTTAAGTATTATTGCCAATAAAATGACAATTTTAGTAGGTAAAATTATTTAAAAAACGAGTTAATAAAATATTTATAATAACACCAAATGTAGACTATATTTCAGATGATTTCACTTTCCAAGATAATCTAGTCTAAAACATTTCAATCTGCACTGTACAGATTATTATTAAACAAACGTAATTAATATGAGAAGAATTTTGCTGTATTTAATCAGGTTTACATTGATTTTAAATATTCAATAGTGTTATTAACAGTAAACAGTTAATATAAATAAATAATAGGTTTATTTACAATTTAGTGTTTGAGTGTTTTGAGAAGTTATAAAAGTTCTTTCCAAAAAGTACTGAATATTATTAAACAATGAGCTGTAATTATCAATTTATAGTGACTTCTTGTCATAAAATAACTCAAGCTTTGATCAGTGTTGCTGCTTTTTGAATATGAGGCTTATTAATTTGTCAACAGCTTCGCTCATCATCAAACACGTCTCAGTGTTCACAGCTCCCTCTGTAGGAAATGAGCATCATATCAGAATATCTCTGCATGTGGATGGTGTGAAGAGCAGCGGCTGGTTCGCAGGTTAAACTCCAGAGTGAAGCATCATTTTAATCCAGAAGTCCATCCTGAGTGACGGCAGGTGCTGGACAGACGAGGCTGAGGAGGTCGTGGAGCTCCAGGCCAGTCGAGATGACCATCATCCATCATCTCACTTCAGATCACAGGACCATGAGTCAGAGCGCCAGCGCTGTTTTTTTAGCCTGTGTTAGCATGCTAGTGTGACGCAGTGGTGTGAATCATCGCGGAGGGAGCCGGGGGGCCGAGAGGGGGGGGGGTGATAATTATGAGAGAAGAATAAATCAGATATAAACAGGATCTGCGAAGGTGAAATTAGGAAATTAGGTTTGGTTGTTTTGGTGCGTCTGCAGGTCGGCCCGCCCTGAGAGCGCGACGGTGACGCCAGACCAACGAGCCTTAACCTTCTACAAGGAACAAGCAGAGAACCTCAGAAGGAGCATGGTCAGAGAGCCCGGCTCTGTCCTCCTGGACCAGCGGCAGAAAGAGCTGCTCAGCAGGGCGTCCAGCAGGAACGAGACCTTCAGCTCAGTCAAAACAAACAGCGTCACGGCTCCTTCAAAGAGTCTCCGCAGACTTCAAAGCGCCTCGTCTGCTCTGAGTGGAGGAGCCGGAATGTGGCGCGTTAGCGGCTTTGATCCGCCGGTTCTCCTGCACTCCTGAGAGGACGTTAGGTACCTCCAGCTGCTTGTGGAGATCAGGTGGAACCCACCGTGTGAGACCTGTGAGGACAGCAGGTCAGATCGGAGACCTTCACCTCGACCGCTGACACCTGATTCCTGTTCACCTGCAAACCATACAGTCTAGAACGTTTGAAGAACAATGCAATTTAAGAAGAATCGCTCAGTTCTGCTCTGCTTTAAGAAGGTCCATATTCTTGATCTAGAATTCATTGTTCTATATAGAACCACTGTCTTTACTAAAGAACCCCTGAAGAACCATCTTTTGTGTTTCCTTTGTGCACAACAAAGGAAACACACCCTCTGTGTGTATCAGCACTGAAGCTCCTCCTCATTGGGTCCCGTTTCCTCTGACGACACGCCGTTCATTTATTCTTAAGTTTTACACTACATTTATAACACGTCTATGACGCGTTTATAGCACAGTTATGTTAATGTTATGCAGAGTTCAAGTGAACAGTAACACGTTTACTGTAGGGTGCTGTTCATAACGCTACATGACACCTACATAGACTCTTAATAAATGTTTATTCCAACATCATTCGCTATTCTGATCAGTCAGCTAAAGTAGCCTTTCTGGGCTTTATGACACCTGCTGGAATAAGCATTTATAAACAGTTACGTAGGGTTATGTCAGTCATCATGACAAGCTTATGTAGGTGTCATGTAGCCTAATGGAACAGAACCCTACAGTAAAGTGTTAAAGGGGAATTCCACTCATTTTTCTAAATTCCCCCATAACTCAGTGTGTGAGGTGTAATCAGAGTGATTCAGAGAGGTTTGGTGTGAAATGGTTCAGATATCTTTACAGTGGTGGTGATAGGAACCAGGGGTCACCACTGTATCGTACTGTATCAAACTGTATAATATTGTATCGTACTTTATCATATTGCATTAAATCATATCATGTATCATATTGTATTATACTGTATCACACTATCACATTGTATTGTGTTGTATCCTGTCATACTGTATCATATCATCCTGTATTATACTGTATCACTGTATCATATATCGTCTTATTGTATCCTATTATATTGAATAATGTTGTATTGTATTGCTTTGTTTTATACTGTAACATATTGTATCACCGTGTGTTGAACTGTCTGACGAATCGTACAGTACTATAGTATTGTGACTAGCATGTTAGCTTGAGGCTAATGTGTTCTGCAGTTACAGTGCTGTACTGTGACTCTAAACAGAGTTAGTTTCTAATGTTCTACTTTTATACCATCTACATCCTTATATTTGCTGCACTGAGTCGAGACTCTGTGCTCTCGTGCTGAGATGAACGCTGTGAATCGTTACTCCTCTGATGGGGGGTCTGCAGTGCTGGGTGAGCTGGGGGGAATGTATTAAACAGTGCAGCAGAACCTCAGAACTGGAGCTGAGGAGCTTCATAATAGAGGCACGGAGGTAAAAAGAGAAAAGAAAAGCAGAGAGAGAGGAAGAGCGGTCTGGACTCCTGGTGTGGGTACAGAGATCGCTAACACTCCACCGCTAGCAGGCCAGAGAGCGGGCAGCCATCTTGCTGCTGTGGCTAACCTCTCCGAAAAAGCTTTCCAGACGGGCGGACTGAAATAAGCGGTGCCCGGGGAAGGGTAGCAATTAGCCTCAGCTGGGCTTGATGTGGTCAGGAGGCAGCATTACTCTGCGGTGCGATCAGGGGAGCGGCGAGCGGCCTGCAGGAACCAGATAAGAAGGGCCGTCAGAGATGAATAGGCGGTTCAAACCCGCGTGGGCTGGACGAGCGTTCGCTCAACGCGCCGCTGTGTGTTTGGAAAAGGCCTGATGAGCTGCACTCATCAGTGGAGGACGAGGTGTCACCAACACCACCCCCCCGACCCCCCTCCCCAAAATGTGGGAGAAACACCACGTCTGACTGTTCCTCACCGTCTCCAAGCAACCGTTTCCTCTGTATCGCCATGTGACGCCTTTGTTGTGGTTGGATTGGAGACTTTGATGGGAAACAGAGCTGCGACCGCATTAAAGATCGAAAAAAATAGAAAACCCTCCTATAAAAACGCGAGCACAGCTACGGAAAAAGAAGCTCGGACGGAGAGCAGAGGCGGACCCACCCGGAGCCACAGAACCAGAAACAAGAGGGTCTTAAAGCAGGACAGAAGTGGGTTATAGCGAAGAGTTAATCACCCTGTTATTATGTTTGTAAGGATTTGTAGCTAATTGCTTCCACATTGAGCATCCAGATGCTCTTGTATCTGTGTGAGAGGGAGAGGGAGAGAGAGAGAGAGAGAGAGAGAGAGAGAGAGGGAGGGAGAGAGAGAGAGAGAGAGAGAGAGAGAGAGAGAGAAAGAGAGAGAGAGAGAGAGGGAGGGAGAAAGAGGGAGAGAGAGAGGGAGGGACAGAGAGAGAGAGGGAGAAAGAGGGAGAGAGAGAGGGAGGGAGAGAGAGAGAGAGAGAGAGAGAGAGAGAGAGAGGG